AAGCATCTTAAAGAGTTTGCTCTAGTAAAATAAATTTAATTAGGCTATTGCACATTCCTTAATAATGTAGCATCATTATAGTAGTATATTATTCTAGTGTAAAAATATTGCGGAAGAGAAGCCTTACATTTTTAGTGCCAATTTTTGACGTCTTTTTATCTATTGGATTAAATAAAATTTTGGTACAATAATGGAACTTCACGTGGTTTAAGTAATACTTCAAGCAATTTCGTAACTTGCATATTTTAAGACTTGAATTCTTTTTACATTTTATATTCTAGATGAACTGCAGTGCACTTATATTCTAGATAAATGCAGCTTAAATAAACGTAATATATTTGTTAGCCTTTTATCTTTAGCGAGTGTCGTTTTTAATTACCTTTCTATATTTCTAATCTAAATTGTCCTTTACTGCATAAAAATCGGATTTTAAATTAAAAAGAGATTTGTAATATGAGTCAATTTTTCACAGGTACTATATATCTGTGTTACATAATTTTTAAGATATGCTTATTTGATTGCAGCAACAGACATTTCGTCTATACGAATTCGAATTAGTAAGATATATTTGAAGAAATTCACCAACACTTTATTTTAGTGTCACAACTGAATGAAATCCATTATATTTTGCTTTCTAATTAGGTTGAGCTGAATTAAATATAAATGTTACAATTTCGTTTCCTCTAATTACATTTAAAGAATATATTTTATACTTCATACCTTAATGCACAGTGTAGCGTTTTCATGTATATCGTGTCCAATAGATCAATGAGAAATTTCTGCAAAAACGAGACATTTATTAAATTAAAAATATTTTTTTCAATTAAAAAGCAGTTTTTTTTTTCTACATTTAACTCCTGTAGATTACGTTCATGGATATTTTCATTTTTTAATTTCTCCTTTAAGGCAAAATTTATCTTAAAGTTTATTTTTTGAATGATATTTAATTTAAAAAACTAATTTTAATATCAATTTGTGTAACTTCAAATAGAGTAATTTTAGAACTACAATGCCTCTCAGAAGATGTAAGATGAAGTTTGAACTTTGGTGATTCTGCGGTGTTAACTACTGCGTCTGATTTCGACTGTCTGTTAAAAATGTTCTTATGTTTTCTTTAAACAATAGGTGATTGAATTAGTTTAATAGCATAAAATATTTAGTAGAATTATCGTATAGTAATTTTACAGTAAAATTAACAAGAGCAGAATTACTTATTTTGATTATTTTCCATTTAATCATCAATACATATAAAAGTAACTGAATAATTAATACTTCTTTTTTTTTTTTTTTTTTTGTAATCTTGTAGTTAACTAAAAATTTATAGAAATTTCAAAATTGTAACTACAGAAAATACTTAGTTTTTAATACTTTTAATAATCTTAAACTAATTCCTACCTATACTTAATGACTTCTAATTTATTACCCTCTCATTTGACTAAAATATTTTATTATACATCTTATGATTTAATTATACATATTTTAAATGAGCATGAAAACATCCTCACTAATGTGAAAAGAAAGACATCATCTGTGCCAAAAGATTTTATACCATGTGAAGTTCCACCTGTTATATATTCTTATACTTAAATCATCTATGCATATCCAATTTACTTCATTAATATATAATAATTCAGTAAAAAAGAAGAAACTTTCACACTTTGTTCAAGAAACACAAAGTTATCTGTCATTTTTATAACAATGCAATTAAAATGGTTTTATTCAGGGAAAGTTTAGTTATCGATTAAAACGCATAGTAAGGTCAGATGCCATTTAAATCTGCCATAATGTTGCAAAATACAGCAGCAAACAATTATGTGAAGATATATGGATTTGCAATGGAAAGGAGCTGGAAATGCATGGATATTTAAGGTATCTGCTTTTGATTTGATTTGGATTATGAAATTCCCTTGCAGAGTGAAAGTGCTGCACAACTTTTAAATCATTCCATAATAATGTATATTGTGGTTTTTTCAGCTCACAGAAATTCCAGATTTTGTAGAATGATTCTTTTGAAGTGTTAAATGATAAAGAGATCTGTTTCATATTTGTTTCATCATCATTTAAGTAACAGATTTTTGTCTATTAAAAATATTTAAAATTTGATTTTTGTCAGTCTTTTATTAGTGTACAAGAGTGGTAACTAACACAATTTTCTTTTAATTCTGCTTATTATTGCATATCATCCGTTACTTGAAATGATATATGCAGTATGCAGTCAACTCCAGACTAACCAGATTTAGGAATACACAGTCCCTTCTTGAAAAGCAAAATTTAGTTTGCATATTGCGCAACAATGGAAAAAATACTACGACAGGCCATGAGCGTACAATAGAACTATTTACGAGAAATACAGAATGGAAACGTAAAGTAGTAGAATAAACGTAAAGTAGTAGAGTAGTAATCGCGGTTGATGTTATACAGTGGCTCACATTTGTTTTCGGATATTGCACTTTTTAAATTTATTTGCACAGATCTTGTATGAAATGTTTAAGCATAGACTTCAAATGTTTCAAATGTTATTATCTTCCTGTATTTTAAGCCTTTCTTGTTGTAAAGTAAATAGCACAATATTTCTGGTAATAAAATACTTTTTTTAGAAAGCATTAATCAGTAGTAACTCACATGATAATTTTACATTTCATGAAAATACATGAAAATACATTTCAAGAATCTTCATCTTTGGAAATTTCTACTTGTTTGGCGAAATATAAATAAATTTTTATATGTGCAGTGAGCATGGCAAGACTCTGCAAATTACCGACCAACTGTGTGAGAAATTTAACAATTCATCTTCTGTAAAGATAGTAAAAGTGTGTAAAATATTTTTAAAAAATCCTTGATGTAATGCATTTAACTACTTTTGATGCAATAAAATGATATACACTGCATATAATTGTTGAAAATGCACATAAGTCAGGAGCGCATTCAAGCTAAAACCAAGGAATCGCAGACTTATTCTGCGAAAATCAATCAAACACCTAAACATTAACTCTATAAAACGTTCAAGCCGATTTAGAAGAACTGTTTGCAATAAAATTTAACCCTGAAACTTTTAGAACAATCATTTAAGACAGTGGGATGGAATGGACGATCAACACGTAAAAAAATGTTCGTCAAGAAAGCAAAGAAAATATGCCTGGCGTTTGCAAAACCCATGTTAGGCAAAGTTTTATCATACTAACATATCACTGCCAAATTAGAGCCAAATATAACTGGATCCTATACACGAATCAATAGGTGGCAAAATATGAATTAAAATTGAATTTGAAAAATATTTCCTACTGTCAAGAAAGTAGGGAGGGAGGCATAATAGTTTGGGAGATGTTTCGCTACCTTTAAAATAAGAAATTTAATGTTTATCGAAAATAATATGCATTGGAATAAATAAATAAATATTTTTAATAGAAACTTAAACGCATGTGGTAAATCTTGAAATGCAAAATACATTCACGTTCTGCCGGAACAACGATCCGAAACATACAACCATAAATGTTCACTTTTGTTATTACACAACTGTCCTAAGTTGCCAAAACTTCTCCATATTCTTCAGACTTAAATTCTGTGCAACATATATGAAATCAGGTGGAGAAAAATTTGGACATATGGCATTCCTTCGAAAGCTCTACTAAAATCAATTCCTACGCAGGAACAGTACAAAATAGAACATTGTTACACGAACAATTTATTGAATCAATGAAAAAGTATATAAAAAGTGCAAAAGGACATTCAACATATATTGAATGTTCCGTTAGTTTCATAATTTTATTAAACATGAAGTGCTAGTTCAAAGTGTCTAAATACTTTGTAGAGACATTAGGATTTTTTTTTTTTTTGGAAGCAGAAAATATGAAAAATGAGCAATGCCTTCGCCAGGAATAGAGCCACGGACCTCTGGAATATGCGCCCAGCGTGCTGCCTACTACACTAGAAGGTATGGTAAGAAGGCGGAAGAAATACCTTATAACTTGAGTCTGTTTATTTTTCAGGATATTTTAAATAAATATTTTTTTACCCTAAAACGTTTTGAATAATTTTTACAAAACAGGCAAGTTTTAAAAGAGAAGATCAGTAGTATATGTGAAAGAGAAATAAAGTGACTTTGCTAACATTTAGTAACCGATGTTTGTAAATAAATCTGAAAAGCACAAATATCCCAAAACAAATATGAGCAATTGTATATAATAATTCACAAATTAATTTTTTTGTTCTAAAAATAGGAAACGTATATATTCAAAATAATACTTCGAATGAATGTTAGACTGTAATATGAAACTATCCAGATTAATGTAAAATTAACCTGAATAATCTAGATGTTATGCCATTCCAACATAAACGTCAGCCTAGATGTTTATGCGAGTTATCTGTAAAAAATGTATTAAGACTTTCGCAGGACAAAAGTCAGAGAAATACTGTCTTACGGTAGATCAGTCCGGGAATTTCTCGTTCTTTCCCACATACCTTCGTGGTAAAATTAAAACATGTCTGGTTGACAATATGGATGTCTAGAGTTCGAATCCTGGCGAGAATATTGCTGAAAATGTGGCGGATTGGAATTCGTAACCACAATGGTTTGGCGGCTGGGTACCATCTTCCCCGGTCACCCTTTGAGTAGAAAGAAAATAAAGAAATTTCTGCTTATCTAGCGCGTGTTTTCGTGGTGTCATTAGAAATCATATTCGGCTAGTAGTCGAAAGGACCGAAGTTGGAATCTCTGCCAAGGCTGTGCTGATTTTTCAAGTCTTTTTGCACTGAAATAAATAATAATAATAACTGTACAGAATCTTACGTTAATAACTAGGTGTAAGAATTTTAATTAGTCTTTTACTTTGCAAAATGTAACTGAATATACTCTAGATCCATGGTCACGAGAAACGCTTTCCTGTCATTTGTGTAACGATAAAGAAAAAAAGTAATATAAAGCCTTCTGAAACATTCTAGTAGTTTTTAATCCTCCGTAAAATTTATTCATAAACTCTAATTTCGATTTTATTTATTGGCAGTTTTACGGCTTAGATGAATTCCTCATCATCTTCCTCAAGGCATGAGACTGACTGTTACTATGAGCATATTTTCTCAAGTAGCAATTTTACTTTTTGGAATACTTAGGTGTGAATTTCAGCCTGGAAACATTTATGCAACCTCTGAAATCACGTGAGTATTTTTATCAATCGATCTTTTGCTTACATAACATTTATTTATATATTTGGAAACTTTCCTCTTAGACTTTCATGAAAATTTAAATATTTTATGTAACTTTTAAGTTTTAAAAACAGAGTTGACAGTAAATTAAATCTGAAAAATCAAGATTTTTAAAGAAATTATTCCAAATTAATGTATAAGGAATGTGCGCCTGCCTAGTGTGCTACCGTTACATCACGAAGGCATCCTGGAAGGAGGGCGAAAATATCTTATATACTCCCCCTTTTTTAAGGGCGACTGGAGAGGTGGGGATTCTCCAGTTCCTGGTGGTGACAAATTATCCTCCAAAATCTTTTAGTTCGGACACCACAGTACAGTCACTGGTATTTTTTGAAGCAGAGGACATGGAAATTGTGCAGTGATCTCCCCTGACTGGAACCTGAACCACTCGAATACGCGTGGAGTGTGCTACCGTTACACTACGAAGGCAAGCGGAAAGGAGGGGGAAAATACATTATAATGTTCTTCATTCTAAAATAACTTACAATAAATTTCCTTCCTGTTATCATTGAAAGTACGTACGAAAGAATTCTCTTGCACCCAAAGAAGAAGCGTAAAGTGACCATGAAATGTAGAGTGGAAACTATATATTTTGTGAGGAAAAAAAATATATATACGTTTATTTTCCAAAGGAAGTTCGTCACATGAGTAAAGCATGTGATTATTTTGAAGACAAAACTGATAAAGAATTATAACGTGCCAAAAAGTCTTTGCCGACCACAAGGAATTTTGATAGCATGGATAAAATTAATCCGACTATTGAACTGTACACCTTTAAAAACCTCTTAGACAGGAAAGTTAAATCTAACTATCATTCACTTAGTTAAAACAAACTTAGCTAATCCTTGCCGGGATGTCTAGAGCTTAATGTGAAGTTCAAACTAAAAATAACGTAAAAACCCTTAAACGATCGATGGACTTTTATACTCATACAAACTACCCAACTCCTCACCATCTTTTAAGTTCTTTTCATTCCTTGCTCTTCATCAACTTTTCCCCCCTCTCTTTCACCACTCGAGGTATCCATCCATCTATCCACAGAGTCATTCTTTTTTGACGTCACATCGATTGTTGAAAGAAGGAGGGGCTATTCTTGGGCACGTGCTACCATAAGACGGCCCTTTACTTTCCTTGGAGGACACGAGAAGGGGCAGAGGATTACTTTCAACAACAGCAACAACAATAACACAAAAAATCAGAAAGTAAATTGAAAGACATCCAAACAGAGTGTGGGGGGAAGTTATGTTTCGTAGTAGGGGGTCAGTATGAGATTTTTGATCGTACATTGTTCAAGAAAGCTGCTAGTGAAATCCTTTTCAAACAACTTTCCTACTTTCATCTGACATAAATTAAGGTAATTATATTCGGGTTAATTCATAAAAAACAATTAAAATTATTTTTACCATATTATTATAAATGGTTAAGAAATGTTATAAGTTTAAGAAATAAGAAAAATTATATTATCATCAAAACTGTAGTGAAATATTGTCATTCTGACGCAAATTCAATTGGTCTAAATTAAGTTTAATAATTTAAATGGTTTAGTAAGTATCGTAGAATTGATAATGCACTTAATCTTTCGACATAAATTTTGAATATTAGAAGAACAGGGATTTTTGTCTGAAAAAGGGGAACGCTTCGTCGTTTAATAACTTTGCCCTTTTTTTTCAAATAAATTCTGTAGGTAACATATATGTTTCAAAAAGTACACTCTCTTGTCTTTTCTTTATAATCGGGCGATTGGGATTTTCACCGTTTCCTAACTCTTTTCGAGGCATTTCGGAACTGCTTCATTAGAATAGCGATAGAAATGTCAAAATTGCAACGTGGCCATAATTTCATTAAGAATTTACTAAAATCATATTTGTTTAAATAAATTTCATGCATATAGAAAAAATCAAATAGTTTTGGTAATAAGTGAATATCTTTGAGTTATTTCATAATACACAAATTTAGTATAGAGTGCAAGTTCTTGCTAAACCCTTCTTAGGAAATATAATACTTCTGCAAACTTGAATGACTTTTGGTGACTTCTTAGTGAGTCATGACTTCATCTTAAATGATAGCAGGAGATCTTAAAATACACTCTTGCTCAAAATATAAGCAACAAAGGAAAAACACGGAATAAAACAAAAGCTGTTTAATAGATATGCTTGAAATTGATCCAAGAGGCTGATATGGCATTTCTAGGTCACAATTCATTAAGAATTTACTAAAATCATATTTGTTTAAATAAATTTCATGCATATAGAAAAAATCAAATAGTTTTGGTAATAAGTGATATCTTTGAGTTATTTCATAATACACAAATTTAATATAGAGTGCAAGTTCTTGCTAAACCCTTCTTAGGAAATATAATACTTCTGCAAACTTGAATGACTTTTGGTGACTTCTTAGTGAGTCATGACTCCATCTTAAATGATAGCAGGAGATCTTAAAATACACTCTTGCTCAAAATATAAACAACAAAGGAAAAACACGGAATAAAACAAAAGCTGTTTAATAGATATGCTTGAAATTGATCCAAGAGGCTGATATGGCATTTCTAGGTCACAATTCATTAAGAATTTACTAAAATCATATTTGTTTAAATAAATTTCATGCATATAGAAAAAATCAAATAGTTTTGGTAATAAGTGATATCTTTGAGTTATTTCATAATACACAAATTTAGTATAGAGTGCAAGTTCTTGCTAAACCCTTCTTAGGAAATATAATACTTCTGCAAACTTGAATGACTTTTGGTGACTTCTTAGTGAGTCATGACTCCATCTTAAATGATAGCAGGAGATCTTAAAATACACTCTTGCTCAAAATATAAGCAACAAAGGAAAAACACGGAATAAAACAAAAGCTGTTTAATAGATATGCTTGAAATTGATCCAAGAGGTTGATATGGCATTTCTAGGTCACAAAGCAAAAAATAAAGCGAAGACGTACTAAAACACGTGTACTACGATAATCATATAGCGAAAGACCAAATCTGTCGGAAGAATATGCAATGGGAACATCACGCTAATAACGCGTATGATGCCGTCTAGCTGAAATGCATGCTTTGCAATGCAAACTGGCAGAAGTGTGTTGATGCTTGTTGTGGCTGTAGTGCCTATTCCTGTAGTAATGCAGATCTGGTGGAGGTTTCCTGGCAACACACTGCGACATGTTATCCGTCGTTCTAACATGTCCCACACATGCTGTATGGGATCCAGATCCGGTGATCTAGCAGACAATTTCAGATGTGAAATGGCTTCACTCTCCACACAGCCCCGCACTACTCGAGCTCTATTCGGCCGGGTGTTACCGTCCATAAATATCGCGCCCGTATCCATTGGAGCTATAAAAGGACGAAGAAGAGGATATAGAATTTCATCGTGATATCGAATGCCTGCGACGGAACCACCGGGAATCAAATAGAGGTCGGTGCCGCCTTTCTTTTGTTCCCCATCCAATAAAAGTACGCCTCTTCTTCTGTAACAGTCTCTTTCAATGATGATTGGCATCGGATAGATTGTTCCTGTGTCTCGCCACATCATTGGCGTTCGGAAATTTGGGAATTGTTCTGGATGTTAAATCAAGATTCTTCCGTAAAGCGTGTGTGGTCTCATTGCTCTGGTGTTCATGGAAAGCGATGTTCATGGACCCAATTCTACAGCACTTTGACATCCGATGGGGTACAAAGGAACATAAACCGCAGATCTCTGGGCGTGCATTCTACCCTCATGCAGTCGACATGACACAGTGTGGCTGGTTATGAGTCATCCTACAGTAGCAGAGCGATCTGAAGCCAGTTGTCTTGCTATTAGTGATTTACGACGTGCTGCACATAGCAACGGGAAGCGATCGTTTGCCGCTCTGATAATTCTCCGCCGTTCAGATCCATGTCATCTACTGGACTTTTGATCCCTTTAGTAACGTTTCCACAGCCTGTTCATGACACTACGATGCATATTTAGTTCTCTCGGAACAGCGGATTGTCTTGCACCAGGTTTCAACATCCCAACAGCCGTCCAACGCATTTCATCATGCAAATGATGTCTTCGGCTCTTGCTTTCTACTTCGGTTATCTCGAATTACACGAAACTGCCGTTGCTTGTAAACTGAAGCATAGGTTCAGCACGCCCGCTTTTAAGGCGTTGTGGTGTGACTGCAGGATTGTGTTTTATGCTAATTTTGATTGCCTATTTGCATTCCAAGATGCAACCGCTATCTCCTATGTAAATTTTGTTTTAATTTCCCTTTTTTACATTCGCGGCCTTTTTTAGCGTTTGTTGCTTATTTTCTTAGAACGAGTGTATTATTGTCAGTATTTTAAATCAGGCCGGTAGCATTTGGTTAACAAAACCACTTCCTAACACATTTTGCGTCAACAACCTAATTGTTAAAATTGAAATCTAATATTTACTTACATTGGTGCTTGACATATTTTTCATTACTTTGTCTCCCTTAGTCACGAATAAAAGCCTAACACATCCCCTTGATAATATTCTTATACGAAAGATTTTTTTAAATAATTATGGCTACCTGATAAATTAATCAGAAACAATTTTATTAATTGGAAAAATATATTTTTAATAAAAATGTCTCTTTTGTGGTAACCTTATTTTGAAGAATTCTTTTTTACCATTTTAACATTATTACTTAAGCAATAAAGTCGGCTGGAAAATTAATTAAATACGCGAATTAATTTTTAAAATTATCTGTTGAAATATTTTGTGCGTCTTTTCAGAATTTTATTTAACAATAGTAGTAGAAAACCAGGATATGACTCTAAAAAGCAATAATTTGCCAAGTAAAAAAAAAAAATTCTGTAATTAGCATAAACATTATACAGCATTTGATATCTGAACTCATCACTTCGTAAAGGATCTCATGGAAGGTAAAAGGATCCTCCTGAGATTTAAAGAAACAATCTGTCATATA